TGCGAATTCATTCGAAGCCGGGGGAGCTGTGGGCAGTTTATTCTTCGAATAGATCATATCTAAACTGTTGTGGGTTCCTGAAACAATTTCCGTATGCCATAAGCAACTTTCAAAGATAATCGCGCCCCTCGGCGCGCAGTCAGGCCCCGGCTTGCACGGTCAGGGCCTGACTGTGTATTATAACAAGCGGACCTCGGAGATAGGAGACTTAGTTTTCCGACACATTTCGGCTCTCCGCTGTGTACGCCGCGCGGGCATGCGAATCGCGCATTCAAACATGAAGCTTCTAAGAGTCACGTCTACAGGATGCGGCTTCTGCCATTTATGATCAGGAACATAGGGACAAGCGGAGAGCTGTTGATGATTTCATATTGTGTAATCTCGCGTCCGTTATTAGTCCAGGAAGGCTTTGCGCGGATTCACAGATATCCGGCAGCAGGAGTACTAGATCGCGCAATAGATCCCAAGGTACTCTGACTGAGCTGCAATCGCACCGCGAACTTCGCAGCGATCGGACGGTACGAGCCCTCCTGTTTCTCTCGCATTTGCTGATCGCTTGCGCACACTAAGAGAGCTGATAATTTCCCGCGAGCTTCGATCGACCTGGGGTGCGCGGCTAAGGCTCCGGGGCTTGAATATGATGCGATTGCAACATCGCTTTCCCCACTCTAGACTGCGGCTGTTATCGGAATGATTTTGGACTCCGACATGCCTCTTGCACGTGAATTGCACGATGTCAGACCTCGAGATCTCGGAACACCCTCATCGAATCATTACATCCGACAATGTCCGAGATACCATGTTGGGCGACGATTCCCTGCGATCCGGGATATGACATTGAGACACGAGGGGAGGAGTGTCGCCTTAGCTATTATCGTCCTCTCCTCTCGCGCAACCTTTCGGACAAGCGACCCCTCCTGAATTTTTCTCCGGCTGGACCGAAACTCAAAATCCCTCATCAGTGTTGTCCTAGTTACTCCGAGAAACTTCTCCTCTCATAAACACCTCAGTCTCGTCTCCGATCGTACGCGATTTAGTAATTCCAAGTTTTCCAAGGGGTGCTTCCTTTCCGATGAAGTCTCTCGAAAGCTTTATCGATTCCGCTGAGGCGAGAACGGGAGTTGGGTGGGAACTTCCGAATCAGGGTCCGATGGCTTAAACGATTACAAAATCACTCCCTGAGTGGAGCGCTCGAGGCTGCGACACCGGGTGTGCGATCCTTATCACAAAAAATCTTCTCTTATTCGAACTCGACGCCCAAATCCAGTGGCGGGACAGATTACCAACCGTGCGCATAATTTCCTTCGCGAGGATTGCGGGATCCAGGATACCCTCTGATAGGGAACATTCTGGACAAATAGACACTTTGAAACATCTCGCTCTCGATGCCCCCGGTGTTCGTGGCGGAGAAGAACGGAATAGCGGACGCTGCGTTTGAGCGCATCGGTGCAGAAACGGGGTAGTTTGACCCAAGTCATCTCGGAGGGAGCCTTCTGAGCAAGAATTTCCTCGACTGGTCTCCGCGATGGTCTGTTTCTGGAGAGAATGTTTTTCCTCGGTGATGTGATCTAGCGACACGGGGAAAGAGGAATCCCGTCGCCATCATCGCTGCTGAAATTCAGGTTTCACAAGCAGTGATTCGTAAAACAGCACTAAGTCGTGAGCTTTCCGAATATGACCATTTTGGATCATCATTGTCTCGGATTCGACAGACTAGGATAGGATTGAGCCAGCTCGGGGAACGGGAAGGGAAACTCATCATGTCATCCGTCGCGTTGTACGCACAGCCTTCCGATGGCCGGATCCGGTAGGGAGGAATTCCTATTAGTTCTTTTTTCTCAGCGTGCAAGATGTCGAGAATGCGCCACCTGGTCTAAAAATGAGGAGCAGTACGAAACGGCTCATAAGAACAGCCGAAGGAACGAGCGCGCTGACGCGACATGCGCACCGGCTGTAGGGTAATCAGCTCGTGATGAAAATATCATTTCTCATCCCGGCGACACCCGTCTCTTCCGAGTCGACGCTCAACTTTTCAAACTTCCACCGAGTTGTGTAACTTCAAGCTGTTCTCAGAGAGGTCCGCCCTTATCAGGGTTTTCTTTGCGAGGCTTTGATCACCGCTGCGGTTCCTGTCTCACTTATCTCTTTTTTTTGTGAGACCACATATCTATATGAGGCATTCGCAGATTTTGTTGGTCTTTTCCCGATCGTTAGAGGTCTGCAGGGATCAAGAAAAACGAAGAATCATCGACCATCTCAGCGCCGCATATCGGCGAGAAATGAAAAACTCCGATGACTTCTGCGCGAGGGATGACCCGCGACCAGGACTGCCGTCGGGACTCAATCCTCAACAGCCTTTTGAGCCGCCCTCGAATTTGTTCATCAGACACGTCGCAATGGCACGGAGAGCCAGTTAGTCTCGGGGAACATGAGCAAGTCGGAACCGGGCGCTTCGGGAAAGAAGATAATAGTTAATGATAGTGCTAATAGTGATGATGATGCCGCTCCGATAATCATAAAATAGTAGAGAAAAAAAGGTGACTGTGCGTGGAGCATTATTCCTCTGACGCATCCGCCCACGAACGAACGGACGGACGGACAGGCAGGCAGGCGACGCAAAGGGTAATTAAAGGACGCGTTGGTCTGTGAAGACCAGATCAGTCGATGCAGGCTATCTAAGACGGATAATTAGTTTGTAAATAGAAGATCCACGATAAGCGAAGAGGGTAAAAAAGCGAGGAGAGATGCAATCTACAGCTACACGCCCTCTCCGCATGAATTCGTGAGTTCGATAATTTCGCGGAGCCGGGAATCGGAGGAGAATCAGGAGGCTCTCGCCAGCCCCTCCACCCACGAGATCTGTCGCGGTCACACGGACTCGGGAAGTTCGCAAGGGGCAACATAAATTATTCCCCTCAAAGAAAACCGCAAACTCGCATCTGTTATCTTCTGGAGTGTCTTCGTTCCTCCCGGGTGCACAGTTCTCGCCAAACAAAAGCTTAGCAGAGACTCCCAGGAGGTCGGCCGCAGATGAACAGAGGAGACCTAGTCGATAACAGAGATTGACGAAAACAGAAAGGACTTCTGGCCGCTGACCGTTGTATCGGCACTCCGTCGCGGCACAGGCGGATTGTTCCCCATAAATCTTGACGGCATTCCGTACTGACGAGCTGGATTCGGTTCGGGAATCTTTTGAATGTGATCGATTGCAACCTGTCTCAATCGCTTCGGGGTTTAAAGTCGGAGGGAACACGAACGAGATATCGGGTCCTTGTCCGCCGAGGTCGTTCGCGCTTCGATGGCCCGGGCTGGCGTGAACTGTAGCACACTGCGTTCGGGAGAAACTCAATGATCCCTCGACGATAGTTGCGTGAAGGTGTAGGAATAATTCTCACATGTTTTGCCATAAGCACACATTAAGCGAAAATCAACCGAGGGAGGAATCAACCAACCGTCCTGATCTTGATATTGCATCTGTTGGTCGGCGGGTTCCAATTCTCAAGTCCCTTGGGGAGGTGTGCGACGGCTCCATCTTCCGCTCCAAGTTCCGCGATCGCTCCCGAAGTCTGGATGTGGCTTAATGTTCGCTCTGCTCCTCTGTGAGCCATCGTTCTTCGTTTGACCCACGTACCGTTCGTGCACAACATCGCTAATTCCGGAAAGTGTGGGATCGGCCAAGTGTCATGTGACCGCGTCCCGATTTCGGCTCGGCGTCCGGTACCACCTCGTTCGGAAAGCTTAATCGAAAGCCTTAATCTCAATTAGTTTTCTTCGGCTTCAAATGGATCCAGGCGCCAATCTCGAATCTGATTTGCATTTGTCGAGGTTGCGCTATAGTCAAACCAGATTCCCCACGACGTGACGTCCTTGCGCCGCGGCGCCTCGCGAAGCGGTGCGGTCTTCGACCGATGATCCCGATTTTCCAGTTCCATTCAAATCGAAGCCTCTCCGCTTTTCACGAATTCCGCCGGACCCTGTCGCGCTCTGAGTTTGCATGCAATGTTGGTTTGTCGTGTCGAGACCGACCCCGAATAGACATGTTCAACTCCGCAGAGGTTGACGTCACGCTCCTGAACCGAATTTCGGATGTTCGTTGCTCTCGTTCCCTGCTGATCGTCACTGGTGTGGCCCAAGGAAGAACTTGGCAGTGTCCTCGATCACATCTCTCGGTGTCTGAATCCCAAAACTCGATTTCTCCTCTACGGATTTCTCTGTGTCCACTCCAGTATGTCCGATGGAGCTCCTGATTTCCGAAGAATCCAGGTTGACGAATCCAAGAAGGGGCTGTCTCGGGCGCCGAGTTCCTTCGCTCTCGGAGCTCCCCGCTACCCCCAGCCGTGGGATTGAATCAGGTCACCCTCGTCATGAGAGTCGAATCGAACGATTACAAGACGAATAAGGCGAACGAGCGACGATCATTATCATTTCATTAAGCGATTCAGGGACATGCAGTTGATGTGTTCGAAGCTCACAATTTTTCCGCAGATGTGTTCCGGAACTCTCCACCTGTGACCGGAGCGCCCTCTAGTCGCGGGGTTGGCCGAGACCCTCAGCGAGCGAGCGAGAGCTGAGGGAACGACAGTCTGAACACTGAGCCAAGCCGGGAACCAAGTGCTCTCCGCTGCCTGGCGAAAAGCCGTGGCGGGAAATTCGGCGAACTGCTGTTCTGATGTTTGGCGGAGTTGAGCCGATTCGCGAGCTTTCTGTGCCGGAAGGAGCGATTGTGAAGTCGATCCAGAAGTGAAGTGTGACCCTGTGATAAACCGCCAATCGTGTTGAAATAGTTTACTCTCGGCTTTGAAGAGCCCGCCGCAATTGATTGAGCGTGAATGGAAACCGACGTTTAACATAGTTGGACTCGAGGCCGCTTCTCTCCGATGGTGGTTCGCGATCGCATACATGGGTGTGACAAAGTGATTGTGGAGTTGCACCCTTGACTGTCAAGGTTTCTCGAAAACGGAATTGCCATTGTCTGGGGTGCTATCGGAAGCTCATGGAGTATGTCATCCCTCGATCAAATCTGGCTGCTTTTCACGTTCGTCCTTAACTTCATCGCCGCCGAATTCGGCTCCGTGCCCTCGAATACCCCTGTGGTACTGTCCCAGAGCACGAGGGCTTTCCGGAACATTATCAATCAGGCCCCTGCCGACAAAGAAAAACCTTTCGGTAAGTGAAAGCGCGGAAGCACATGAAATCTCCCTCCCGGCCTCGCTGAGGGGGGTGAGACCGGAAGGAAAATGCCTTGACTTTTCGTCGCTATTGTCTTATTCGAATGAAAACTTCCATGCCTTATCTCTCCGCTCCAGTCTGGAGAATTTTCTCTGGTCCATTGACCTGTGCGGGAGAGCATCCGTCAAAAGAACGACTCGCAAAACTTTCGCGACTCGCACGTCTCGACGAAGACGTCGAGTTTATCGAAGGTCGCAATTGAGCGTCGAGTTCTCTCGGCGCCTTCCCTCAGAGTTGTTCCCGTTTTGCTTTTGATTATTATCGCAAGCAAGCAAGTCAGTCAGACAGACAGCCAGTCGGTCGGTCGGTGGAAGGGTCCAAAGCTCCGGCTTGATGCAGCCTGGCACGCAAATAGACTTTTAGGTGCCATAAGAAATGCTTAAACCACTTCATTCGAATGAGTTCTTCATCCGACAGAAGAGCAATTGCCAAACTTTGTTCAGACATCGCTTTTGTCTAATGGACTTTCTTCTTCTTCGTGCTGCGGAGCTGCTCGTCGACCAGACATACATATCAGTAGATATGGTTTCGCAGACTAGTGTCAAGGACGACGCAAGGATCGACTGTGGTTCGAGATAAGGCCAAGTTATCAGGCATAGAGAATCGTATGCACAGAATGCAGAAAGCAAAACTGAATCCCCAATGAACGTCCTCGGAGGGGACCGCCTCCCTGGAGCGCCATGCTACCCCACGTCGGCGGAAGCAACGCGTTATCAAGAGTTATGACTGAGTCTTTCGAGCGATCGGGTCAAACGGGGACTTTGAACTCGCCCCGAGCTCAAGACTCGCATATCGCAGAAGCTCGAAGCGTGCCTCATGGCTTCCTTGGCCATTCTCTCAAGCTGAGAGAGAATAAGGCTTGCTTGTTGAGGAAATTAATAATCGACTCCCTGGGCCTCCGGTGGGCTGTTTCACAAGAGCGACGTCCGTTTAAAGACACCCTTCTGTCGGTGACGCGACTTGAGGATTACGAGGAGCAACAGAAGAGACCTAGCAGGTGGCGATCTCCCTCTTAGACTCGCAGAATGCTTTGCAGTCACTTGTAGGTAGAGAAGCGAATTATTTCCATGGCCAGGGTGGCTACGCCGAATTCCTCTGGGTCAGCCACGTCCCCACTGATATCGTCTCGGATTTCGCGGCTCCTCCCAGGTTCCCCGTGATCTGATCATGATTTCTCACGTGGCTAATAGCTGCAGTGGGCCCTCGCGTTAAGAGACGACGCGACGTTCGTCCCGAGAAGACTCCCACAATAAGACTGAAGTGTTCCTTATCGGAATATACGTAACTGGCGAGATCGCTGTCGATTAGCGGATTTCGATAGATACACACCATTATCGATACCTTGCTGAAGATTGATAGGCAAATCGAGACATCAGCAGTCGAACGCGTATTGCAGAGCATCTGGTGTCGTGATTGTTTGCTTGCGAGATCGTTCTCTCAGCAAATTGGAGAAAACGGATTTGAATCGAGACAGTTGATTGAACGATCCGAGAAAACGACTCGACAGAAGTGCCGGGCTGCGAGGCACTTCGCCGCTCGTTTCCACTTACGAGATGTTCTCTGCGTTTTCCTTCGTTTCCCTCTCCGTCCCTCCCAGTTGTTTAGGATTCGTCCTGCCATTCGAGTCGTCCGACAGGCCCAACTCTCGTGATAGAGGTTCGAACTCTTTTCCCAATGAGGAATCCCTTTCGGACATCTCAGATTTATCCCATTCGCCATCAAGTCATTTCGCACTGTTTACGAGAATCCTAGCTTCCGATTTCTGGCTGACCCGTCGAATGCTGGATGCTCGATATCCTTGGCGACACGATTCCATGATTCAAGAATTCCCCGACGGAGAATGGAACGCGCTCTGTGAGCGGCTGAGCTAGTCCCACGCCTCACCCGCAGCCTCGATCAGCTTGGTATTGGTATGGATTCCCCATCAGCGCGTTGTTGCGTTCGCCAACAATTTATTCCGAGCTCAATCCACCGATCGGACCTCGAACGGTCCGAGAGAGCAGGAATTTCGACCTGATGGTTTCTGTCCTGGGAGGCATATGGTCCAAGACCCCAAATTGCACGCCACGACCGTTCTCACGACCGGTGGCGTTTGGGTATAGTCGTACAGGAGTTTAATCGCTCAGATGAGTGTTCACCTGAGTCCTTGCCGGGAAGACGCGATGACGTGTTCAAGTTCACCCGTTTCGCCTCCGTTGAGCTCGATTCCCGCTCCGGAGAGCTCTCTTGCCTTCACCTTTTTCACTTACCTTTCGCAATAAGTTTGGACTAACCCTCGTGGATATTCGTGCATGGAGTAGAGCGGGAGAAGGGATTCAAAAGCCGGGTCGTCTCTCTTGCACGAGACGGATGGCGTTTACGGCGACGCGACAGTGCGGCGTGCTTCATCCCTTGAATCTTATTAATGCAGGATAGTTCTCATAGATATTGGTCGTTCTACGCTATGGCTTCAGCGGTCGCTGCTGGGTGCCCGCCGTGAGCTCGGTACGAAGAGCAGGTCGTTCGGTCGGGCAGCCTTTCATTAGTCGAGGATGCCGATACAGGGAATAGGCTCGAATCAACAAACGTCGGCGTCGCTGCAAGACTGACAAACCGAGTTTTCGAGTTCAAAGGAGCCTTCCGCGTGGGCCGCGTTCGTTGCATCAACCAGAGCGAAAAGAGTCTTCGGGAGATCGGGAGACGCTCTGTTGGGAAGTCCGAAAGCATGCTTTCCAAAGTTGAACCTCGAAATCCGTGATAAGCAAAGTCGATTCTCGTCCTCCCCGAGAACTCCAATCGAGAGCGCATCGACCCGTTGACAAGTTTAATTCCATGACAGTTTTCCATAGGTCATCGGGAGCATCCGAATCATGCAGTCAAAAACTTACGATTCCAAACATGAACGATCCGGGAGGGGGATCCGCAGTGTCGACTTGTTTTTTGCCGACCCGGTCGACAGTCGAGTTGTCGTTGCGCAAACTTCTGTCAAATGGGGAACGGAATGATTTTCGAACTCTCGCATGGATGACTTAGAAAAGGCTCTGCACTCTCAGTTGGGCTCTCTCTGCTCTTGCATGACGAACTCTGTCCAGAGCGATTCCAATCGATTCAAATTTTCCTCGGAGCGGCGGTGGCGAGAAGAGGGAGTGGAACGAATTTAGGGTAATTCCACAATCTCTAATGCTCTGCGGCGTGATACAAAAGGAATAATTCCGAATTCAGATCTTCCAGTGATTCGCTCGTTTCTTCTTCTCCTCTTTAACTTCCTTTCGATGGCTCACTCTCATTTTCCTCGTGCTTCGTCATCCCGCCGTCGGCCCTCTCTCTTCAGCTCGACCGAGGATTTTCAGGAATTGCAGCCCAAAAACCAAACTACTAGGTGTGCATGTAGGCAAGTCCGCGAGCACACAGCGATTTCTCTCTCTTCAGCGAGTCGCTACGAGTTGCGTTGTTTTCTCCGTCGAATGTTGCGTGTGGGAACAATCGCCGCGACGCGACGCTCCGTCGAACAGTGTGTTTTTTTGCATGTCCCCAGTTGTGGATATACTTGTTGTGCAAGCTCTTCCCTCAGCCACGGCGGGGAGATTCAGAATCCGGAAGAGCGAAGGACTGTTTTTCAATCGAGCCATCGCATCGGGTCCGCGAGCTTCTCCGTTCCATCGAATTGTTCGCCGCGAAGTTTCGAATCGATGATTAATTCGCAGCATGAACAGTAATCTATGGAACCCACCGATGGTCGGGCTGCGATCCTTCCGATCGAAGACTCAGACTCGATCTTTGTTTTTGTTTTCCCTCGGACGGCTCGCTCGGCGCACCGATCCTGCGTCAAGGACCGATTGTCTCTGCGACAGACCTCGCGGTTTCCTGAGAGTATCTGTGCTGCGTTTTTGTCCGCAAGACCATGACTCTCATCCCTCCAGCCGCGCCGATTCGCGTCGAGAGATTTCTGACCTCTCGGTTTTGAGAAGCCTACAGCCGAGCAACGGAGATTGGTGAGCGGTGGAGGAACGAACGACTGGAGAGAAACGGAGGGAGACGGCGCCTCTCTTAAAAAGAATAACGCGACTGGCTCATTACGGTTTTTATTCACCTGGGGTGTTGTCCCTCGGTCGGTCGCCGCCGTTCACAGCCGTGAACGCTCGTCCGCCGGCTCCTCCGTTGGAGCTCTGAAGCTACCCCTAGCCGTTCGCCCCTTCCTCAAAGCGTCTTTCCTCACACGGCTACCGGAATGCTCTCTTGGCTTTCTTTTCTTCTGCTCGCTCATCGCCCAACGCCTCTGTCTGCCCTGCTTGCTTCCATTCAGGCTAATTTCCTCAACGGATCTTTCCTTCTCTTCACCGTCTGCCTGTCCGTCCGTTAGTCCATCGTTCGCTTTTTCATGGCGTTCGTTTCTCGGTTTTCCCCGTTCCTTGTCTCGGTCTTCCGCCTTGTCGCAGGGAGAGGAGCGGGTCTTGATCGTCCGCCTGTTCCGTGTCGGCCGACCGAACGACCCCTCAGCCTTGCCTACCTCCGTACGTGGTGAGGGGGAGAAGCGGATCCCTTCCTTGATAGTCAAGTCTGAATTCGGATCAGAAGAGCCATCTCAAAAATTTCAGTCCCGCGAATCTCCTTCTGTACTTCGAGAAGGCGTCACTACGCCCTCTCCGCAGAAGCCTTCCTACTAGCTTGCTCAGAGCGCCGACGGTCCGCTCAAGAACGGAATGCTAATGCGATTGTATGCAGGCGTTTATTTCTGTGCTCGTTACAAATACGTGCGTCCTAAGGACGAATGTCCGTCCGTCCGTCCAGATGCGGTCGCTCGCCGTCGTCGTAACGCCATCCGACTCGCGGGACAGGTGAAAACAGCTTTGTCCTTCCGTTTTCGCGAAGCTACGTCGACTCCATATGGTCGAAGGACGAGACCCTTACCACGCTCCCGTGAGGTCCACAATCGAGGGGAATAAGGTTGGAGAGTCGAG